AAGTTACCTGATATTTTTCAAACTGGAGCAAAAGTGTCAAGGATTGACCTAGGACATGTCTTTGCTTTTGAATCAGGGGTGGTATTCAGCAGGTTCTGACCAGTACTGGAGAACCTGTAGTGGAAATTTTGAGTAGTTTGGAGAACCGACAAATACCACCTCTGACTGGCCCAGCCCCCATCTATTCTCCGCTTCCTGAGTCCCAGCTGAGCGGCTGGGTCTTCTTTTGTTGCCCTGCACAGGACAATGGAGCTGGAAAGCGGGTTAGTGGGATGGAGTGGGAATGGGATTTTGCAGTAACCTTCCCCCAGAGTGGTGTGGGAATGGAGATTTTACAGCATCCTTCCCCTGCCATGCCCACCAAGCCACGCCCGCAGAACCGTAGTAAAAAAATTTGAATCTTACAACTGCTTTGAACTACAGCTCCTCCTCAACAAGGATGTCCCTGAGGAACACTTGCTCCATGGGGAGCAATTCCACAAATTAGTGTAGCATAATCCATTGGCAGATGCCCTGTAAGGGTTCCCTTGACAATATTTTCGGAGCATTATGTAGGAGGGTTTGTTGCACCATTCACTATCTTCCTTTTGGCTAGTAAAATGGCTTACATTTAGTGATTAAAATACAACGATTTTTAAAATATACATTAAAATGTTAAAATAGAAACAAAAGAAGGCAGAATCATTTGCCAATTCATGAATTAAAACAGAAAGATAATTCAATGGTAGCCTGTTCCTAATGCTTTTTCAGACTTAGAGGAAACTGAGAGGTCCTTGCTGTTCTCTTAGCTTGCTTGTTTTCTTGCAGACATTTCATTACCCAAATTAGGGTACCCAAATTATAAAGGTTTATCCCTTAAAAACAGAAGAACTATGACACTCGCATCCCCTAAACTCCGCTGAAGATGTAACCTAGCCTGGTAACGAAATGTTTGGAAACCAACGCACAAGCTCTGAGAACAAATCTTCACCTCCATCCTGCTAGTAAGGAGTGCAGTTTGCTGTCAGTTTATATTTTGGTGGCTTGCCCTGTTAGTGTTGGTGAGCATTAGTAATGTTAGAGGAAAGTTTTCAGCTGGCAGGGAAAGAGGGAAGGGCCCAGCTGGCATTTCTCTGGTCATATGAAGATATATGAGCAAGACTGGAGCTTTTTACACATTATATTTTTGTTTTTCCATGGAGTTGATTATATGAAATCAGTTTCAGAATGGTAGCAAAAAGGTATTTCAGCTGGGATGGCATTTTTCCCAGTCACAAAATACTGCAAATAGATTAAATGGAGAGAATGCATAATATTGCCTACACCATCATTTGTCACTTGGTTGAAAGATATATGGAACTGGATGCAGTTATCAATCAGAAATGCTCAGTTGCATTGTAAAAAGAATAACTGGCCCTGATCACACTGGTTTCCTGTTGAATCATGTAAAAGCATTAATATAATTGAAATCAAGTCAGAGGTTATTTTGATTGATGGAAAACACAGATGAGGCAGTTGAAAAGGAGACCAGAGATATACCGTATTTTTTGCACTATCAGACGCTCCAGTCCAGACCATAAGATGTACCTAGCTTTTGGAGAGGAAAACAGGGGAAAAAAATTCTGCCTCTGCCTCCTAGCAATTTGCCTCCTTGCAGCAAGCAGCAAACAGCCTGGTCAGCTTCAGAACAGCCTGATTTAGCACCAGCAGGTGATTGGCGGTTGGATCAGCTTCCCGGAATACCACCAATCAGCTGTTCCAGGCTGCGGGGATCACAGCTGCCCATCACTGCCACCTATTGCCACCTCTATGCACCCCATTTTTGGCCTCTGTGTGTCCCATTTTCGGCCTCCGTGTACCCCATTTTTGGCCTCCGCACATCTTGTTTTTGGCCCGTTCCAGGCAGCGGGGATCGCCACCACCACCGATTGCCGTGATAGGTGGTGGTGGCAGCGATCCCCACCACCTGGAACAGGCCAAAAATGGGACACACAGAGGCTGAAAATGGGGTGCATAGAGGCCAAAAATGGGATGCGCAGAGGCTGAAAATGGGGTGTGCAGAGGCGGTGATAAGCAGTGGCGATCCCCGCAGCCTGGAACAGCTGATCGGCAGTATTCCGGGAGGCCGATCCAACCGCCAATCACCTGCTCATGCTAAATCAGGCCGTGCTGAAGCTGACCAGGCTGTTTACTGCTTGCTGCAAGGAGGCAAATTGCTGGGAGGCAGAGGCCAGCAGGTGGTTGGGACTTCAGCAACATTCACTCTATAAGACGCACAGACATTTCCACCCACCTTTTTGTGGGGGAAAAGTGTGTCTTATAGTGCAAAAAATATGGTAATTGAGAAGAGAGGTAAGATGAAAGAAGGCATGAAAGCAGGTGGGAAGGAGACAAAAAGAGACATGTTGATATCTCTCTGATTTGATTTCCATAAAAATCTGGATGTTGGCATGTGAAGATTTATTTATTTATTGATGAGAAATACTGTTTCCCTACTGGACCTCTTTGATCCAGCTTCACCCTGCTTCAACTGACATTAACATGGAGGCTCTGTTGTGATGATATATCCTCAAATGGTAGGCAGACCATCTCAGCACTGGGCCAAAGAACATGTGTGGATGAGGCTTAAAAACTTTCAACTAGGGCAGTTGAGGGATCTCATTTCTATAACTTGTTTTTTCCCCAAGATTTTTTATCTGTTCTTTTTTATTATTTAGAAACTGAAGGTGGTGAACACAGCTAATACTCCTCACTCCTCCTATTTTCCCCACAACAACAACCCTGTGAGGTAGGTTGGGCTGAGAGAGAATGACTGGCCCAAAGTCTCCCAGTCAGTTTTTCAGGCCTAAGGCAGGACAAAAACTCACTGTCTCCCGGTGTCTAGGCCAGCATCTTCATCACTAAACCAAATTGGCTCTCAATTTTCTCATTACTTCAACATTTGGGGGAAATGAATGAGACTGAAAAACAAACAGAAATATTAACAAGTCCCTTAACAAAAAAGATCTTGTTTCTTGACTGCTTTAAAATATTAAGGGACTTTCCACTTGCCAAAGAGATTAACTGAAGTAATAGAGAAGAAAGAGATGGGAAAGCATAAAATTATACAAGATTTGAAAAATTATAATATGGACTAGCAGTGCACCCACCGGTATACATTAGAAGGAATTATAAAAGCATAAATCAGGAAATATTCCATCTTCTCCCCCACCAAATACAGCAAACAACTGAATTACATAAAAAATAGGAAAAGTCAGCATTATTACATATGGGGGGAAAGGAAGAGGATTTGCCAAATGGCCAGGATGTGACATGGGAGCCCAAATGGGGGGTCATTTTAATTCCACAAGGGTTGTACCATTTAGCTCAGTGAAAGGTTTATTGTTCTCAAAATAGCTGCTACAGAACTCATCAAGGTCAATGGCATTATCATTTCAAGTTGACCCGAACAGCTTGATCTGAATTACCATAATACAGTATTAACACTGTCTAGATCTCCCACAGTTTATTGTTCTCTGATTGCCTTACTTCCCTATTTTAACCTTCACCTTTTCCCACTACTATTTGTGCACTTACTCCTTATTCAGTTTTAAACTCTATGCACCGACAAAAGTTTCTCCCATAATAAATATGCTTGTTTTTTAAAGTTGGGAATGAATACACTGCAAACCAGCCAATTATGGCTTTCTTACATTTTGGATTTGAACTGCTTTCAATAAAATAATGAAAATAGGCTTTTCCTCTGTTCATGCGTTTGCTGATCCAACATTCAAGGAAACCCTATCCATTAACTGATTTGTGTAGAAGGTCAAGAAAAATCCTAACCTTTTTTGCCTCATCTCCCTGATTCAACCATTTATATTTACTCCTGAAGTCTTTATAGATCTCTGAACTGCAAATATTAAAATTTGTGGTTTCTGAGTATAATAAATTGCTGCTCCTTTCCTGCATAGTAGCTTATTTTAACCTAGACCAAGAGGCTACTTTAACAAAAATCATCTTTTTATTTAGCAAGTGGATAGGCAAAATTCTTGGTGCTCTCTGAGCTTGGTGATTTGCAGAAGTTTTATTACCCAACTAGATAATATCATCAGTGCAAGAGAGTTTTCTTATGTTACCTAGGTGAGAAATGAAATGGTTGCAACCAAACAACCAAATTCAGAGAGTACCAAGAACTTCACAGTTCATCCATGAGCTACAAATATTCTCTTCTACTAAAGACATGACTGTGTGAAGCATATTTTAGGATGAAATATCACCAAGTCCTCTCCTAATATTTTAGCCTTCCCCTATCCAGTGCTCTCTAGACTCAACTAGGCAATATAATCAGTGCTAGTGAATGTAAGGTTTGATAAAGCTGGAAGTATGGCCAAATTAAAAAGGACACTACACAGGTTTTCTCCCAAGATAGTAGTTCTGTATTGTTCCCTAGAATTAAAATGTCATCCATCCTTTCAGTTCACAAAAATATATGCTAACATGCAATTTGTTGATCCTGCTGCCAATCCATATTGTCTACTTTGATTTTTTCTAAATGCTGCCATTCCCAATTTTGTATGTGTAGCATGCGTTGGCAAAGCAATTGCTTGAGTTCCCTGGCTTTGCTATTTTCCCTCTGAATCACCAGATCACAAGAAAAATGTCCACTGATCACAATGCTAAAGAAGGAACAGGCGTAGTTGTACTATTCTGACTTTTCTAAGCTCCTGCTGGTATCTCTGTACCTAAACCCTCTTTATTCATAACTTAACCGTATGCTCTTTTAGTTACAAATGAAACAAGCAACACTTTCACTAAGATTTCTCTTTTTGTAGGCAACAAATGCCAACTTCGATTGCTCAGTATTCTATTCCAGCCCTGCTCTAATTTAGTAGGATTTAGAGGATTTTTAGTAAAGTATTTAGCCACTGCTATTGCAGTTGTATTAGACAACTTGCATAGTATTGCTGCGTCCAGCGTTTTTAAGGTAGCAGAGTGGTGGCAAGCAAGGCTGCCATGGTCCATTGGGGTGGGGTGTTTACCTTGGCCTGCTATCAACACCCTGATTCCACCCATAGTCCCTCAGCTACCTCTGTGAGATGGGTAGCAAAACACAATAGATTTTATGCACCTGGCAGCTGTTGCTGTATTTTATCAGCTAATAGCAATCCCAGACTTAGTCTGGATTAGTTTGGGTGAACAGGAAAAGGGAAGTGAAAGTCTATTTGTCTTGGATGTGTGTGTTTGTATTATCTCTTCTATTCCCTACTAGCTCAGAAGATATAAATAAAAATCATGTAACCTCAAAATAATCCCAAACCAAGTGTTTCTTTTTTAAACTCTAAAAAAATTCCCAATGTAGCTGTTACTACTAGGAGCCGCCCTTAAGAGCCACCAATAAAAAGATTAAAACAACAACAACCCCCATACAACTTTTAATACTGGAAGTGTTAACTATGGTTTAAACCTATTTCACTCATGGGATAGGAATAAAATGGAGGTGAAGTATGCATAAAGGGTAGAGTTTGTATTGTGTTAGTTTCATACCTTGGGGGGGAAATGGTCAGATTCTATAGCTTCTTCTGGTAGGGAGGGATAGCATATTGACTTCACTTCAGACACCAGGACAATTTTTATTGTTTGTTATACATTTATGTTTTATAAGCAACTTTGAAATTTAGAAAAATAAATTTTATGAGTTTTTAAAATGTCACTATGTTAGAATTCCATTTACTATTAGCAGTATTTATAAAACGGTTTAAAACCAGCATAAAATTAAGGGAATTAATGCCATTATCAAATAAGATGGTGAAACAGGTTAGTAGTACAGTACAACTGCATATCTATTTTTTAACAACCACACATTTTTAAAATGTGCATAATCATCGCATACAGTACATTTACATTAAAAGCCTCTGAAGTTTTTTGCAAAATTTATTTATTGATCTGTTTTATTTCTGTAATCATAAAAATAAACAGTATTAATTTATAAGAAGTATTTCAAGCCATACCATGTAACTGATAGTTTCATAATTTTTTAAAAAAATGAACATCTAGAGATAACACAACTATATCAACAAAATCAAAATGTGAAATCATTTAGTTGGACATAACCATTTGGAACAACTAAACATATACAGTATATCAATATCTAATTGCTCAACCTAGTCATTTTTCAATCAACTGGAGTTTTTAAAATATCCCAGCCTCTATTAATGAGCTTCTACATCACCTGAATAGATGGAATTAATATTGGCACTAATTTCCTATCTTTACAAAGGCTGAGCATCATTAGGGTCTTGGTAGTTTTGCTTTCTACCAATATTCAGAATCAAAACTGTATCTCAAGGACACAAATAACCACTTCTAGGTCAAGCTACAGGTAAACTGTTTTGTTTTTTAATCAGGATAATTTTTTTCTTTCTTTTTTTTGTAAAAATTTTATCTAAAAACATAATAAAAGTAGAACATCTTTTTTTAGAGAACAGCATGATTCCAGGTTATCACATCTCCATACAGATATAATCTCATTTACATACTCATCTTTTGTATTCAATTTCATATCTCATCACTATTTTATCAATTTCTCATTCCTTCCTTTAATTTCCTCAGCCTTATATTATAATTGTCCCATTCCTTTCTAATTCAATTACATATCTTTTCCTAAATTTCTATATCCTCCTAATTTTTTCTGACCATCTTTAGCTCTCAAATCCACAAACATGATGCTGGATTACAAACTTAAAGAGATGTTTACAAGAAAATAGTTTGGCTTAAAATTACTTTAGGGTTTTTTGGCAATTATTTGTTTGGATCTAAGGAACAAATCAATTTACCCTGTCATCTGCAATCTTCACCTGGAATCAGAATTGGAAAGATTTTAATGTTCCTGGCTTTATGAAGTAAAATCAATTCTGTAATTCTTTCTCCTGCATATAAGCTACCACTTTGAAATCTGTTAATAAAAATTGCCTTGCTAAGTGGCAAAACTTTCCCCTAGCACTTAGCATTGACAGATATGTCTCTCTTAAAAGTGAATAGCTGTTATGGCTAGACTACTAAATAAATTACATTCAGCATCGATATTGCCATGATCTTAGATATACAAATAAGAAAGCATATACTAAACACAGAAACCATTCACTGTTTTTATGTAGTACTATTTCTCCACATAGTACTGTTTCAACAGAATGGTAAGGAAAAATATTATTTTATACACAAAGTAGCAGTAACGAGGTTTTGAAGCATGCTATTTTCAAAACTGAGATACAGTTCTATGTCCACATTTTTCTAGAACTGATCACAATTTTTGTATTCCCTTATAGCTGACTTCAGACATGTTCTGCATTGAGAATGCCAAACCCTGACTTATAAGTTCTATAATTAGATAAGATTGTGATATTCCTCAATTAAAGCAATGGGGGGAGGGGCGAGAGGATTCGATCATCATTGTCCTTTATTCTTTATTTGTGAAAGTTCCCCAGGGATTGGACAACTCTTTGGTGCACTCCATACAAAAAGCTAAATTGAATTTATGTCTATTATTTAATCAAAGAACGGCTAAATCCACCATACGTTTTAACTGATTACAGTGTCAATCCTACATGCAATTGACTTAAGGAGCTCCTCTCAATTCACTAAAGTTTGCTCCCAGTCCCAGGTGAATATTGATTGCAGTTTGAATATACACAGGTTCAAGTATGAATTAAAACAAGAAAAATCATCTTGATTTAACTAATCAATCAAACAATTTTAGAATTGCTACAGTTTAGCACCTGACAAAATATTTGTAGATATTGTAGAATAGATATACATTCATAACATTTGAGTGCTTGTCCCTCCAGTGAAAATATGCACTAAAATGTAGTGTATAATGAACTGAAGCTATAAACTGCTAATCTAATTAATGTTTAAGAATCATACTTGTCCCTGTTCTGGATGGGCAATAAACGGCCCTACTAGGCCTTTAAGTGAACTCTTTTTGTGACTCTTAGTCTTTTCTTCTCATGGTTTCTGAAGACCAATGACAGTTTCTCACCATTTTGAGTTCAGAAATACATTAGGAAGTTCTAAAATATGTATATAACAATAAAAACACTCCACAGAAATCCAACCTTACCTCTATATATGACCATCAACATTCAGTGCAACACCAACTACCAAAAGGCAAAGCATCCTTATTTTGCATTTTAGTGCTATACTTGGGTTCCTCTGATGATGTTCAGCAAACCAATACAAAGTAAGTATGGTAGATACAAAACATTCCATATATGAAGTGTTCTGTTTTGGGTGGCCCACATCCAGACCTGGAGCATGTATGTTCTAGCAGAAATGTTTCAGATACAGGCAACAGGAAAATGCTAAGGACATCAGCAAGTGTAGGGAAATCAGGTAGGGAAATCAGTGGCTTCAATTTAGGAGAGGTTATCAAAGAAAGGTCCTATGAAAAACCAGGATAGATATGTCACCCTTGAAAAAGAAATCAATGGCACCTAAGGGGAAGTAGGAAAAGAAATACCCTGAGGAAGTCAGCAGGCAGGCTAATACGCAATCTTTGCAGAGAAAAAGAAAAATATACCTGGGCAAAGTGTTTGAGATTCTAAGACTCTTCCAGAATTGTTCCAACGCAAACCCAGAACAATCAAAATGTTCTAGGTTTCAATTCCACCGAACTGTAATCTATACAGAACTGTTTGTCAGAACATGTAAAATACAGTGTGTTTATTTCAATTGGAAATTCACTTTCCATTTTCCGTATGCTCTTACTAGAAATGCACAATGATGAATTTTACAGAAAAAAAATACATATGGTAAGATTGCAATCCTATACCTAGTTTCAAGTCTCAGTGAATTTGATTAATGAATTTGATTGATAACCACGTGTGCATTAAAAGAACAGCAATAGTAGAATTTCCATAATGGCTATTCTTAAGCTCAAGTAGACCTGATTAAAAAAGAGTGCCTCTCTGTCCCCTCTATAGGGTTTTTTCTCCACATTGTAGTCTCCACATTGTAGTCCATCACTACTGATTGATAAGGGAATAAAACCTTTTAGAACTGTGGTGTTAAATACATCTGTATTCCATAGTCTTTCCTATCAACTTGAGGTTTGGAAAGGTGCTTCAGGATGACCACACTGAATTTATGAAATGTTGCGATAACCTGTACTTCTGGCTGCTGCTTCCCATTCCACTGTGAAAAACGTAATTGTCCCAAAAAATCCAACAACTGCCATTATTAGAAGTTGCCACTGAAGAAACAAATAGTTGCTGTAGAAGAAAGCAACAGCTGCACAGATAGACTGAAAAGAAAAAAAAACATGTTGTAAATGCAATCTTAATGACAAGTCAACTGAGTTATAGACATTGATTTTTAATGCCATCCCACCTCCACTTTTAATTACTGGAACATAAGCTTTCCTAATCATGTTTCTTTATAGAAGCAAATACACTTATTCCAAACTGGACATGTCCAATATACAGATTGCTTCTTGTGATAGTGTTGTTTGTGTACACAAAATCCAGCATTTCCAGTATTCCAGTATTTCAAATTGAAGATTGAATGGTCTAACATTATTGATATACATCAATTTTGCATTTCATTAAATAAATATCATTTAAAGTATTAATGGATCGTGTCTAATTTGGAGTAAGTGAGATCAGTAGCAATTACTTCCAAATAAATATGAGACAGTGCTGCAAAAATACTAAAATAATTTTTTTATATAAACATGCCACCTTGAAGTCCAGGATAATTTTGATGGAGGGAAGGCAGGCTACATATCGAACAACAAATAAAATATACTATTGCGTATGCATTCTTTGCTACCATAACCCAACTGTTATTTTATAGTTTTACTTGATAATATCACAGGAACTTTTCTCAAAAATTAATTCTACTGTCCTTTTTTCTTAGCACAAAAGGCAAAGTTTCCTTTAAGCCATGCTCAATTTCTAATGACTAAATAGATCCATAAAATTCTTTGGCAACTATATAGCAATATAGTATGGTACTACTTTCAGAATATGGTAATAGTGGGTGGGGGTTAGCCCAGTCTAGGGATTTCTGGTAGTTCCTTGCCAATATTATCATGCCTAATTGTACTTAGTAAGCAAATGAGACAAGGTTGGCTAAATGCAAT